CTCCCAGTCCTCTTACAGCCTCCTGAGCCCGCCCGACGGTGCCCGGGAGCGCACCGACTACGTCAACTCGGCCTTCACGGAGGACGAGGCGCTGTCCCAACACTGTCCGGTTGAGAAGCCTCTGAGGCACCCCGCGCTGCCCGAAGCTGCTGTGGCCGTGAAACGGCCGCCCCCTTACCAGTGGGACCCTGTGCTAGGGGAGGACATTTGGGTGCCTCAAGAAAGGACAGCACAGACTGCAGTGCCCAACCCCCTGAAACTGCCCCCTCTGGTGGTGGGTCAGAGCCAGCACCTGGACGTGTCCCGCGTGCCCTTTGTCTCCCCTAAGTCTCCCGCCAGCCCTACTGCCACCTTCCAAACAGGCTATGGGATGGGAGTGCCGTATCCAGGAAGCTATAACACCCCCCCTTTGCCAGGAGTGCAGGCTCCCTGCTCCCCAAAAGACACCCTGTCCCCAACACAGTTTGCACAGCAGGAGCCGGCTGTGGTCCTGCAGCCAGCCTACCCACCCAGCCTCTCCTACTGCACCTTGCCCCCCATGTACCCCGGGAGCAGCACATGCTCGAGTTTACAGCTGCCACCCATCGCCTTGCACCCCTGGAATTCCTACAGTGCGTGCCCACCTGTGCAGAACCCCCAGGGCACTCTCCCCCCCAAGGCACACTTGGTGGTGGAGAAGCCCCTTGTGTCCCCACCGCCCACCGACCTCCAAAGCCACCTGGGTACAGAGGTGATGGTAGAGACCGCAGACAACTTCCAGGAGGTCCTGTCTCTGACGGAAAGCCCAGTCCCCCAGCGGACAGAGAAATTCGGAAAGAAGAACCGGAAGCGCCTGGACAGCCGAGCAGAGGAAGGGAACGTCCAGGCGGTGACAGAGGGCAAAGTGAAGAAGGAGGCGCGGACTCTGAGTGACTTTAACTCCCTGATCTCCAGCCCCCGCCTGGGGAGGGAAAAGAAGAAAGTGAAGAGTCAGAAGGACCAGCTTAAAGCGAAGAAGCTGAACAAGACCAGTGAGTTCCAGGACAGCTCGGAGAGCGAGCCGGAGCTGTTCATCAGCGGGGACGAGCTGATGAACCAGAGCCAGGGCAGCAAGAAGGGCTGGAAGAGCAAGAGGAGCCTGCGCACGGCCAGCGAGCTGGAGGAGTTCAAGTGCCGGAAAGCCAGCGAGAAGGAGGACGGGCGGCTGGGCAGCCAGGGCTTCGTGTACGTCATGGCCAACAAGCAGCCTCTCTGGAACGAGGCCACCCAGGTGTATCAGCTGGACTTCGGGGGGCGGGTGACGCAGGAGTCTGCAAAGAACTTCCAGATCGAGCTGGAGGGGCGGCAGGTAAGCGTGTCCCAGGCCTGGCCAGAATCGTGACTTCCTGGTCTTGGCAGGTCTCTCTGGGTTTTGAGAACCGGGTAAAGGGTCTCGGCACTTTGGGGAGCATTTTCCCAAGGCCACCTGGGAAATGTGGAAAGCACCTGATCCTCTAAGGTGGGGCTATTTGGGGTTGTGATTTTCAGGGTGCCCATTGCTATCCTTTATTTCTCATCAAAGTGACACACGTACTGATTTTTTAAGGTCAAATGACTCTATAGACCCATGAGGAGGACTAGGAGGACCCTGCCCAGCCTTGCCCACTCCCCAAACCAGAGGCACGAGCTACCAACTCTGCCTTGTTCCAAATTTGCCACCATATTTGTAAAGAACATGTTTCTGCTTGGATTTATCAGTTAGTCAGTTGTGGCATCATGGGTTGAATTTTTCCTGAGAAATGTGAGGGTTTATTTCCTTCACCCCGACCCCGTCCCTACACATGCGTGAACTTAACTTTCTCGCCTTTTCTTAAGTCATCAGTTACCTTGTTACGCCGGTAATTGTGATTCCCAGCTGAGCCGTGTAGTATAGTCTAATTGCATTCCCTTCCTTATTACATAGGCTTTTTTCCAAGACAGAATAATTACCCAGTGTTTGTTTGTTTATTTTTCTGTGCATTTATTATTAAGTCATTCCGCAGTTCTCGGTACCGTTAAAACACATCAGATAGTCCGTTGGTTCTTCCTCCTCCAATCCAGAACGTTGCTCCAGCTTTGCTGCGTAGCTGTTTTCTGGGGCTCCCCTTCTCCACCATCTGGGGACTTCCCTTCCCCTCTCATATGTACATCTCATTTTCATTAATTCACCCCACAAATATTTATTGAGACTCTGTTATATGCCTGGCAATCCTCTGAGCCAGGAGTCGGCAAACTGTGGCCCACGGGCCAACCTGGACTGCTGCCTCTTTTTATAAATGAAGCTTGATTGGAACACAGCCATGCCCGTCCACGTAATTACTGTTCCACTCTATAACAGCTTAAGTAGTTGTGGCAAAGCATGTGACCTAAAATGCCTAAAAAATTTACTATCAGCCCTTTACAGAGAGTTTGCCAACCCCTGCTCTAAGTGCAGGAACCAGAGCCATGAGGAAAACAGGCCCCGCCCTCGTGGAGTAAAATGAGAGAGAGGCCGTAAACAACTAAATATGCGTTGTATGAGGTCACGTGGTGATGTAACGTGGTCACCGTAAGTACCAAAATGACAAAGGAAAGCGGGCTCTAGAGATGAGCACAATGGGAAGGAGGCGTGCTGCGTTCTGTCCCTCTCTGAGCAGTGAGTGACATTTGACAATTACGATTGACATTTCTGTTAAGCCTCTGAGCCCATAGATTCTTCTTCCTGCTTTTTCTTTCTCCTGCCTGTTTCCTTGGTGAGGAAGCCACTTCTTCGACCTGTGGCGCTTCCCATGCTCTGGGTTTTGCTCGTTGTCTCCCCACTGCGTTACCATGTTCCTCTGTCTCTCTGTTCCGATGAGCCCATAGTCGGATCTAGAAGCCTATCAGAGTCCCTTTTGTTGGCAAGTCTCTCATAGACCGTGCTGTCTCCGTCCACTGCACAGCCCTGGCTGCCCTGTGCCACCTTGTTCTCCTCTAACGTCTTTGCTTCCTGCGCCTGCCCAGGTGATGCAGTTTGGAAGGATCGATGGCAATGCGTACATCCTGGACTTCCAGTACCCCTTCTCGGCCGTGCAGGCCTTCGCAGTGGCCCTGGCCAACGTGACTCAGCGTCTCAAATGAAGAGACTGGCCTGGGCAGGAGAAGAGGCAAAGGAGCTTTACGGAGCGGTCTGAACGCAGATGCCAGCGGAGCTCGCGTGGGCCCGGGTGCCTGGGGGACTGGAGGGCGAGGGCGAACGGGAGGTGTCTGCCAGGCCCAGGAGAGGGCGCTGACCTTAATCATTGTCATTTATTTGGGCTTTTATTATCCTTTATTGTCTTTCTTCTTTCTTTTTGAACAACAGAAAAATACAGGAGAGTGGTATTTGGAAGCAAAGGTGCCAGGCGCCTGGTGTGTTTTTTAGGAAATGTAATTGCTTGTAATGTCCTACTGGGTTTGCTTATGTCAGCCACAGACAAGGGGCGCTCCAGAAGGAAGGCACAGTGCCTTCCAGCCTGCTGTTCCTTTAGACGTGAGGCGTACGCATTATTTTCATTCTCCACAACATCACCACTAGCGTAAAAGTGAAAACCTTTTAAAAAAAAACACAACCAAAAATCCTGAAGGTACAGGTTCTCTTAGGGGACAGCATTTAATTCACATGTTATTACTCCCCCAAAGGTGACTTGATTAATGAAGGGTATTTTGGCAAATGCACTGTTTGACTGGTAAAGGTAGGCTTTTTATGGGGGTGCTATTATCAGCTCTGAATACGATTCACTCCTGACGACGTAGGGGGAAGGCCTGACGGGCGAGGAAGGAACTCCTGCACGTGTACACATGGGTGGCTTACGTAGCGTGACTTGAAATAGTACAAGGGCTATGCTCCTCTCTGGAGGATGTTTACATTGAAGACTCCACTAGTTTTATATTATGTCAAAATTCCATAGGTTCAGTATGATTGACTTGAGAAAGTAAGATACAAAAGCATGTGATCGGGGCAGTGGTTTTCTCAGCTAGTGCCTGGGTGTCCCTGAGAGGTATCGTTGATTCCCACTCTCTTTTTATTGCTGGCTCTGGAAAATGTGACAGTAGACATTATCTTTGCCATTACACAACACCGTCCTACACTTTCCCTTTTGCTACAGATGCTAACGATGCTGGTGAAAGCTCTCCTTCCCTCTTCACCTGCATTAACTTCAATTGACTAGAAGTGTTTCCAACGGATTAGAAACATGACCGAAAAATTTTAAGCGTTCGCTAGGGTATTAAGAGATAGGGTTATAGTTGACTCTTTCACAGAAGTCCCACAGTCTTCAGGAAAAAAGGTTGTTCATTCACTGTACAGACTGTTGATTGAGGAGTTAAACCACTGGGAGAACATGGTGAAAATTGTAGTATTTAAGATAGTTAGTTTACTACTAAGAAATCCTCCGAGATGATCTTTTCTTACCCCACGCCCATCTCAGGGGACACCTTAGGCAGCATCCAGCCCGGATGACAAGACTCAGTTTATTGTTGTGGGTCATTCTCATCCATGATGTAGATTAGGGCAGCAGCATGAGAACTGTGCACTGGCATATGGTCCTAAATTTGGATTTCGTTTGATAACAGACAAGTGGAAGATACTACATAAAAGCATTTTTAAAAAAATTTTTTAATTCCCTGTTTAGGTTTAAAAAATAGAAAAGAAACTTGCCCATTCCTTGCTCAGAACAAGATAACATCTGTCACCCACCTTCTCTCAAGCCCCTGAAGAAACACAGGAAGATGATAAATATGGCGGAGGACATCTCCCGCTGAAACCAGAGTTTCCCATCTTACATTTTAAAATGTCAGACGCGATTCTTTGGTGGGTAAATTCTTCCAGAAAGAATTTAATAATTTCTTTATGCAAGTTTCTGTAGTTTGATGTTTCAATGCTTATTATTAGTTGTGCAATATGGTTGGTTATAACCTATTTCTAAAATAATTTAAATGCAATTCCCTGTTTTATTGTCCAAGAGATAATTATTTATCTTGCTTTAATAGTATTCTTAAGGGTTATTTTCTTAACCATGTACCATTATGCCCATTTTATTATTTATTTAGAAAAATAGTAACGTTTGTAACAACTTACTTGGTAGCAGTATATTTTGCTGCAAGAAATAAAGAGGATATGATAGAAGGGTTTTTTGCTGGACAGTTTGTAACTTTACCTAATTGGGAAAATTTTTTCCATTAATCCTTTAAAAGTATTTTATTTTTTTTTTTCCATTTTGTGGTATTGATTAGTTTCAAAGGAGATTTCTTTAAGATAACGTCTTAAAATAACATTTCCTCTTTTGAAAATTTTATTTTTAATTAAAAATGAAAAGTGATATGAAATGAGAGGAAACTTAGAATGAGAATAGCAAAAAAAAAAAGAATCATTAGTAATAAGTTCAGTTTTTAAAGTTCAGATTGGTGTTTGAGATACAAGGACCATGAAAGACTACATTTTAGAACTTTTCTTAGCAAGAGCAAGTATAGGGGGAAAGCCTTGTCATGAAGACTAAAGAGAAAGCAAGTGTTTGTAGCAAATAATTAACTAAGCTGACTAAACTCATAGCTCACCCCCCACGTAGAGATAGAGGCGTCTGTCTTAGATGTTCACACACACGCTAATGAGCAGCAGCGGCCCAGCTTGGCCCAGAGGCAGAGGTAATTTCAGATGCCAGATTTCCTTAGACAGATACACACAGTGGTTGTAATGTGGTGGTGTCTTTGAAGTTGATAATGATGCTTTATCTTACTTTAAAAATTGTTTTCATTCAGGCAGTCTCGATTTGTTAAATACTGCTATGGTCACTACTTTATGCAGCAGAATTCTACATCATGTTTACTAGCAATGTATGAAAATGAAGATACCTCATTGAATCCCTAAATTTAAAAACATCAGCCCAGTAAATAGTCAACTACATAAAGAATCCATGCCTTTTTGAGAGAAGCAGTATATTAGCAAACAAAAAAAAATTTTAATTTGTTTTAACTTTAACCTCATCGAACCAAAGGCACAGATTTGTGTAGAATATACCCATTAAATGTTTACCCTGAAGAAATTGGTACCAGGGAAGCAGAAAATGTCAGAGCCCTCATGGCAGTATAAGTCAGGACCTTGCAGGTTAGTATTTTTCACCCATGGCCATTGCTCCTTTGTCAAGCGTCCCACGAGGACGTGCAAAAACGTGTACGTTCATCTTACAGTCATAGGAGAAAGTCAGTAGGCTCGGGATCGAACCTGCTCTGTCACAGAGTTGGAGGGGAACGCCGGGCCTCCATCTGTCCCTCCGTAAAATGAAAGGGACCACCTGGACGACCTCCTAAACGCCGTCCAGCTCTGACAGCCCAAGGGCTCCAAATGGGCCGGTTCCCCATTCCACTTTGCGACTTGGAAGGTATGTTTCAAAACATTGCCTTTTGGTAGAGAAATGTTTCTTTTCCTGTGTTAATGAGTGGTCTACTGAATGTAAATCAGGGCACTTAATATCTTTAGAAGCTTCACCTCCAGAAGCAAATGCATTTGGAATTGTGTTTTCATAAAATGACACAGAAGCCCCCATTCCACCTGAGACAGGAGCCTTCCCCTGGGTGCACCTGCTCAGTGGCTGCCCATGAGAACACCCCTAAAATAAGTCCACACTGGCCCCAAAGACAATAAAGGGGGTTGAATACAAACAGAGGAGCGAATGCCTAGGCCACCTTGAATTCCCGAGTGTGCTCTGCAGTGTTACATGATCTTCAAGTTCAGAAGGTTTCTGGAAAAGGACCCCATTGTGTGGGGCATTTATCACTTGGCCACGTCAATGGCTGTGAACAAAGTCCGTTGAGACAAAATGTGTCAAAAATGTCGTTTGAGTTCCTGGGATTTTGTAATAGCACACAACTCCAAACCTTTCACCGTTTATGGATTTCCTTATCTCTGGCTGATAAAACTCTGAAGGTTTGTGGCTTATTTTGTTTTCATTTCTTTGGCTTTGTGCAATTTTCTTGTAACTCATACCTATATTTTCTGTTTACAAGTTCTTTTAAAGGGGAGGGGTAGGGTTCTAAGATCTTGTTTATTGTAGATAAAAAAAAATTTTTTTTCGTGTTGTAGAAAAAGCATGGGTTATGTATTTGACTGAAAAAGGCACTGTATTATCTACCAAAGGGGTATTGTTTTTGCATTTGTTTATAAATGCATTATTTTGGTACTGTAAATTTGGACATAATTTCTGAGTCTATTACTACTGGCATTTTCTTTCTCTCTCTCTCTTTTTGTTTTTTTTAACTGTAAGTGCACAACGCAGGTGCCCAGACCCCACACCAGACCAGACCACCAGCATGTACCTGTCCAGGCCTTGGGGGCGACGCACTGCCCCGTGCGCCTCGCTCCTCTGAGTTGGTTGGTTTGTTTGTTTTCACTACAGCATTCTGCTTTGTTTTCCTTTCCAAGCAGGCTCTGTTATCCTGCTTGCATTCTAATGAGCTCACCCCGATTTGCCTCTCTTCTCATGTATTTTGTGTATTAGATTGTGAGGGAGGTGTTCTAGAAGGCATTAATGGTTTGCATTCAAAATGCTGTGGTTTGTCCAAATTATTTTCTGTCTTTATTATTGAGATGGACTAATCTCATTTTTTTCTTGATGATTTGAAGTTGTAAGAATTGTCCAGCTATTGCTTAATAAAATTTTGCAGATCAAAAAAAAAAAAAATCAATTGCTTGTGTGCAGAATTAAGATGTGGGTCTTGAATACTTTGAGAAGAAATCACTGCTTTCCATTGGCATGACCCATCATCCCTCCCGTTGCTTTACTATATCACTGGGTTACTGCCAATGGCCTCCTGATACCCTGAGATCCTTATCATTGCTCTTTTTGAGACGTCAGAGGTTGTGCTGTCTTCTTGATGAGCTGGTTTGAGTTTGTGTTTGTTTTTTCTTGTTTTGTTTTTTTAAAGAGGACCTGATTCAGGATGCATCTGTCTTAACACCTACAAGATCAGAGGTACTAAATACACCGACACCTTCTTTGTTACTTTGTAGAAAACACTAAGCCGGGTTTTGAGCAATTCCTCTCTAAGTGCTAATATAACTGTTAATTGTTGTTATTACTAATGAGTCTTACTGAACCTCCTCACTCTGCCCATGGAGAGGAGGCAGGGACTCGGGGCTCATGGGAGGCTCCCCTGCAAGCACTAGCTCATGTGCATGTTTACAAAACTGCCCCTTTGATTTTTCAGAGGCAAAAATAGACATGTGATCACTCAGGCTTTAAGGGACAGAACCAAAACCACGGTCAACTCTAACAAATTCTAATCGTGCATTAAGTTTTACAATAATCAGGACTATAGATCTGTGCTTTAAGTAGTAGTAGTTGTAAGAGACTAACTGACCTGAATTTTGTGTGAGAATCAAAACATTTCTGATTGTATTATGAAGGTTTGTGAACTTCAAGTCAATAATCATTGTATCTTTATCACTTACACCAGGTAGCAAGGAGCCCTGATTGAAAACAAACTCCCT